CCCAGAGGAAAATCTTGAAACTCTTCATTTTCTTTCTAAATTTCAGATTACATTCCTATTGTTTAGCTTGGGATTTATTATAAAAGCTAAAAGTTTCAAGGTCTATGAAAATAACTCTAGTTTTCAGGATTGGGTCCACATCCATGTTTTTTAGCAACTTTTTTGGAACTCTAAAGAGACCTTTTCTATTATCATAAGACCAGTGTACTCACTAAAGGTAAAATACTGCATTATCTGTAGTAAAATACTACTTCATGAACACTATGTGCCTATACAGTGTTCTCCAAAAGTGATTAAATAGATCTTAGGAAATATTCAACATAGTTTCTGGTTTTCCTTCATGCTTTGCAAATTTAATAATTTGAGGCAATACCCTATATGTTTAATTACCCTATATGTTTCTGATTCTTAACAGGAAGTGAATTGCCTGAGCAATTAAATTATAAATATATTTTAGGTGTAAATTTATATTCAGTGTTTGCATTTGCTATTTTAGTGTAGAGTTTTGAGAGTTGTGTTAGTGTGCCTTTTACACATTTAGGCACTTTAGGATACTGATGTGATTTATTTTGTTTGAAGAATTTTTAAACCTTCTGAACAATTTCTAAGTCAGTTAAGTGAACTGATGGTGCCATAGGTAAATGAGGAAAAGAATACTGAATCATGACAATGATGAAAATATCTATAGTGTTGATAAAGGTCCTCAGAGTAGCTTTACAGTTACTTCTGACTTTTGTGATACTGTAATACAGATCGCTAGCCTCACTTAAGGAGCTCTGGTAGCATAGTGCCTAAGGTACTTGACTGCTAACCAGAAGACTGGCTGTTCAAACCCACCAGCCACTCCTTGGAAGGAAGGTTGGGCAATCCTACTTCTGTAGTGATACTGCCTCAGAAACCCAAGGAGGGGTTGCTGTGAGTCGGGGTCAACTCGACAGCACGTAACAATAACAACAGCATCACTTAATTAAAAGCCATGGGATGGCCAAAAGAGCTTGAGACTTTTTTTTGTCTTACATTTCATATGCTGAGAATTTCTCACGGCTTCTAGCTGGAGCCTGCCTACCTAGCTATGTATGATTTTGTTTTCCAACTTCATTTTTTATCTTGTCCCTGTACACACTTGAAGACCACACAGGAAAATGCATGTGCAAAAACCACAGAACAGAGCATATCTATTTGTGAGATGAGGCTGACTAACAGAAAATGTATTGAAATGCTTCTCACAAAGTAACTCTTGATGTTTTACTTCAAAGCAAGTTAGGTTAAGAAGCAGTGATGCTAAAATATTGGTAACAAACCAGAAATTATGGCAAACAGTCTGAAATTAAGAAATAATTTGAGATAGAAAATTATTTAAAAGGTAGTCAAGTGAATTTAACAGCTTTATGAGACCATTTTGTATAGGACAAATTTAAGGCGCTCTGGTGGTGCAATGCCTAAGGCATCTGACTGCTAACCAGAAGGTTGGTGGTTCAAACCCACCAACCACTTTGTGGAGAGAAGAAGAGGCAATCTACTTGTGTAAAGATTTACCACATTGGAAACCCAGTGGGGGTCACTATGAGTCAGAATCAACTCAGTGGGTTTGCTTTTTTTTTTTTTTAAATTAGCTTTTTAAACCCAAATTCAGTAAGCACAGAATAATTACTCTCTGCAGACCTCAGGGGAAAGATACATAAATTGCCCAATCTTTCTTTTTTTTTTTTTTTGACATGGGTCAGTGTTCTCTTCCTTCTCCTCCCCTCCCCTCCCTTCCACTCCTGGTAAACAACAAGGTTTCCTTTAAACCTTTCCTTGACTTTTTACAATAATGAACTAATACTGTATTTGTCCTTCTGTGATTGACTTTCTCACTCAGCATCATGTCCTCCAAGTTCATCCACATTATGCAGTGTTTTGCAGATTCTACATTATTCTTTGGTGTTGGATGGCATTCCATTGTGTGTATGTACCATAGTTTGGTTATCCATTTTTCTGTTGATGGCCATGTAGGTTGTTTCCATCTTTTTGCTATTGTAAATAGTATCGTGATGAACATGGGTGTGCACATATCTCTTCTTGTCCTGGCTTTCACTTCTTTAGGATATATACCTAGTAATGGAATGGCTGGGTCAGTTGTAATTCCAACTTTTTAAGGAATCGCCATACTGTTTCCCACAGTGGTTGTATCATTTGACAGCCCCACCAGCAGTGTATGAGGGTCCCAATCTCTTCACATCCCCGCCAGCATTTGTTATTTTCTGTCTAGTTGAACTTTGCAATTTGTGCTGGGGCAAGATGGTATCTCATTGTTGTTTTGATATCCATCTCTCTAATGGCTAATGATTGTGAACATTTCCTCATGTTTGCCCGAACACCTTTTTGATGTACAGTTGGAGCCCAGGTGCTTTAGACCAACAGATCTGCCTCCTCCACAGAAAGGAACCACTTCCCATCAGTGGGCTGAACTTCTCATTTCACCCAACCTTGGCCACGACAGACCATTCCATGGTTTGAGCTCTTTAGCCATTAAGAGTGCATACTGGAAAAACTATCCTTAATAGGAACATGTAAACAAGATTTGCAACAAATGCCTAAAAATCAAACTCAGTTAAAAAGTATTCAGATAGTAGAATTTTAAGTAAATGAATCTTGGAAGATTTATTGACCTTGAAATAAATGTGGTCAGTAAATCATGTTATAAAAACAGTATTATGGTCTGATTTCAGTTTTAGAGAAAAAAATACATGTCTATATCTTTGTATAGAAAAAAGTGTATAACAGAAATAAACTGATTATTTTGCTGATTAAAAAAAATTTATTGTAATTTGGGTGAAAGTTTACAGAGCAAATTCACTTTCCATACAGCAGCTCACATATACTTTGTCTCATGACATTAACTGCAATTTCCCACAATGCAACAGCTCCCCTCCTACTTCGTCCTCTTTCCTCCCATGCCCTCCTGCCCCTTGAGCTGTCTTCCTGTGTATACAAATCTCTCTATTCTCCCATGATTGATCTCTCTGAGAAGTGTATCTGCTTAATGTAAATGTTTAGTTCATATGCCTGTCTTTTGTTTGGTTAGAAGCCACAGGAGTGGGTTCAATTCCAGACCGCAAGAGTCTTAGGGATTCCACCAGTCTCTAGCAGACTGACCAACCTGGTCCCTTTTTTTCCCCTAATGATTTTGAGTTTTGTTCCACTCTATCCAGGATCTCATACCTAGATCCCTGACCGGGTGGTTGACAGTGGTAGCTGGGCACTGTCTAGTTATTCTGGTCTCATAGTCATGTACGCTGAGAATCACATGGTGAGAATCACTTGGATTGTTTCCATGTGTCTGGTTTTCTTTATTCTTCTTTGCTCTGGATGAAGAGAGACCCATCGTTGCATTTAGATGGCTGCTTACAGTCTTTTAAGACCCCGGTTACTACTTGCCAAATGAGGATGTCGAACAGTGTTTTTGTGTAGTATGTTATGCCAGTTGAGCTTGATGTCCCCTGCAACTATGGTCCCGAGCCCACATGTCCAACTACTTACCTCCTCTAGGTAGTTGGCTGTGGCCAGGAAGTGACAACAACCTTGTCCCTTGTCAGCTCTGCTATATACTTAGGAATTCTTACAGAGCATACAAATACACTTGTAGAAACATTGTCTGCCAACCCTATACATGGTCATGGGCACACTCCCCCCTGCATAGACATACCTGATAGTTTAACCTGTCTACCCATCTGTCCACCTGTATATCCATGTTTGCCTTCACTGACAATGCAGTACTGTGTGTGCACAGGGGTTCATCTTTGTTGTCTGTACCTCCCATGCACCTCTCTATGTCTTCTCTTCCTCATTGCTACTGTGTTGCTTACTCACATTTGGTACATTGCCCTTCTCTTCACCCAATCAATACTCGTCTTTACTTATCTAACAGTGTTCGCTCCCCTTCTCTCCCACCCCTGGTAACCAACAAAGAAAATATCCTTCCATATATAAACCGTTCCTTGACTTGTTACAATAACAGGCTAATACAGAATTTGTCCTTCTGTAATTGACTTATTTCATTCAGCACAATGTCCTCCAAGTTCATCCACGTTATGTGGTGTTTTGCAGGTTCTATGTTATTCTTTAGGGTTGGATAATATTCCATTGTGTGTATGTACCGTAGTTTTGATAGGTTATCCATTCTTCTGTTGATGGGCACCTAGGTTGTTTCCCTCTTTTTGCTATTGTAAATAGTGCTGCAATGAACATGGGCGTGTGCATATATCTCATCGTGTCCTAGTTCTCATTTCTTTAGGATATATACCTAGTAATAGAATTGCTGGGTCAAATGGTATTTCTAATTCCAATTTTTTAAGGAATCGCCATACTGCTTTCCACAGTGGTTGTATCATTTGACAGTCCTACCAGCAGTGTATGAGAGTTATTTTGGGGATTTTTATGTGACCTTCATTTTATCTTTTCTAAATTTTCTGGAATGGACATACTCATTTGTGTAACAATCAATATAAATAACTCAATCCTCTGTTCTTCTTCCCTAAGAAACTGCTTTAGATAAATTTATTATTTGCATATCTATGTTATTAACTAGAAGTTGACTGTATAATTGCAGTTTTAGCCCATTAAGGTTGAGCGAGTGCTTTAGATTCTTAGTTGTTTATATTAAATTTAAGGCAAAATTATTTTTATTAAGCTGAAGACATTAAAATATAACACTAGAAAGTGGTAATATTTTAATAGTTCATATATCTGCTATAATAAATGATTTTTATATTTGGATTTTCATTTGCAAAAGTACTGGGTGTTGTTATCTGTTATATTGCAACATAAAGTGTAATTTATGGTGTATCAAAGATCGTTTTTTTTAATTCTGAGAAATTCTGTTGCCTTTTAAAATAGTATATTAATCATATGTTAAAACAAATTATTTTTCTGCCTTTTGCTGTGAATTTCTTATGCCCTCAGATTGGCACCTATTTTATAGTACTTGAAACTTTTACTTTTTATTTGTTATTTCTCAGGTAAACGCAAAGCACTGAAGTTGAATTTTGCAAATCCACCTTTCAAATCTACAGCAAGGTTTACTCTGAATCCCAATCCTACAGGAGTTCAAAACCCACACATGTGAGTATTTTTGTTAATCAAATAAAAGGCTCAACTCAAACACGGAATTTAAAGTTACTGCATTTTATGAATTTTTCTAAATCTAGAGGTTGGTATTTTCATTATCTTATATGGGCCAGTTCAAATATTACTCTCTGAATTGAAATAGAAAGCTATTGATTCTGTAGTCTGAAGTAAGAAAACATAATTTTCCTTATTAAAGATTACTTGAAAGGAAAAGAAGTACATTTATATCTTATTCACTTTCTTTTTTATTAAGCTCAGGATATTGTTTATTCTTTTTCTTAACTGGATTTCCAAATAAATTGCAAGTTGTATTTGAGAAACATAATTGTCCCCTGTAAATCTACCCAAATCATCACCTTTTACTTGGTGACAAATAGATTCTGCTTCTTAAAAAGCCTGTAAGATTTCCTTGTCATGGTTAATTGAAAGAATTTGTGTATTTTCCAGAGTACAGGTGCCAGTGAGTTTTTAAACAATTTATTCAGTGAATATTTTTAATTAAAAAGTAGAACAATTGTAGCATCTTACAGAAAATATTATTAAGAACATCTGTAAATTAATTTTAAAATACTGCCTTATATAAGAATAATATTTACAGAAATTTTCATTTATATTGAAGTGATATATTAATAATAACCCCTTCTTCCTTCCCCCAAAATGATCATGAATAGCAAGTGTCAAATCCAGTGGCTTTACATTTGTACTCATAGCTATAAAAATAAGATTCAGCAAGATCTGGTATTAACTATAAAGCAGATAGTGAAAGGTATGGTAAAGAAAACTGGCAGAACACATTATGCTTTTTAATAATTCCTTAATAATTTTGTATTCAAACTTTATTTGACTAGAAATGTATTTATATTTTCAAAAGAGGCATGTTTGTTACTCCTTTTCTTTTAATGTTTGGTGTGTACCATATTTGCAAATAGTAACAGATTGGTAGAAGGCAGAGGGTATTTTTTGTTATTTTTAAAATAGCAATATCTAGAAGTCAGGAAGGTGTATATGTATATACATACACCTATAATCCTAGAAAGAATGAAACATACCTTAAATGAAATCTGGAGTAACAGTGTACTTGACTTGGAGTGCTTACTATCAATTTGTATGAGACTGATGTTCATAAAGGCTAGAATCCCAGCCTTTACTTTTTTCTGAAATGTAAACTGGGGGATACTGTGAGGAAGTAAGCCTAGCACTTCACTAGTCAGAGCTCCAGCAGCAAGGGAATACTCTTTAAATAACCTCCTTCCTTATTTCCTAGAACTTCTGGTACACAGTAGTTCACAACTAATTATAGGTTGAACATAGACCATCTCTGTTATCTTGATTGCCTGCTGAACTACCTATTAGAAGCTAAAGAAAGAAAGGATATGGTACTAATAGCCAGTATTCTTTTAGCTCATATGGACCAGGAGACATATAACTTGATTTAAACTTATAACTGGAAAAATATTCATAAATACTTATATTCCGTTCCCTAAGAAATTTCTTCATGTATGTTGAATTCATGGGCAGATTTTTTTTTTTTTTTTTTTTTTTAAAGAACACAGTATTAAAGCTTCCAAAATTTGAGTAGGTCATGTTTTTTTCCCCCCTCCTATTTTCTTTTTTAAATACTACTAGTTCATAATACTTCTGTAACCACCTAGCTTTCTCATCCTTTGTCTCTTCTAACAAGTGCTAAATGTTTGAGAACACTAGGGTAATAGGCATTTTCACCCTAGGATGGAATCTTTAGAACTTGATTCTCATGTGTAAAATATTTTAGATCCAGACTTTTTTGAAATTTTGTTTATTATGTAAGTCTATTGATCTGGAGCAAGAGTAGGCAGCTGCTAGCATGGATATTGGTTTTCATCATCAGACAATAATTTTAATAGTAAAGACAGTGATCTTTGCCACCTTCCCATCTCATTCCATAAAGTAACCTTTTATACTCTTTCTTTGGGCTGGGTGCCATAAGGTGCTAAAAACTATTGTTGGGTACACTTCAGGATAACTACTTTGCAGTTAGAAAATATAACTTGTAGTTTGTGGGGGCTTGGAAATAAGATAACTTTGTATCATTTTTATGTTTTTCTTCTCTCTAAAATTTCCTTGAACTGATTTTTCTTTGACCTTTAATGAGATGAATGTCAATATAAATCGTGATCATAAATTTAGTAAATAAAATTAGTAAGCAGTTAATGAAGTTAATATGTGTCCTAGGAACTAGTTTTAGATACATATGGCCTTTGATGTTTTCTGTATCCATGGTCCTCTGGAAGATTTTTAAAAGAATTGTAGGATCAAATCTTTATTTTCTGAGAAACAACAATTTAAATAAAATTCCAAGAGATGACAGGTGGCTTGTAGTAGTTATAGAAATGACACAAGGTAATGCAGAGTGAATGTCAAATGAATGGTGTAGGAGAGGGTAAGATCACTTTATATAAACTACTTATGAAAGTTTCATAGAGGAACAAGATTTGAATTTTAATTTTAAAGACAAGTAGGGAAGGATAGGTGGAGAGAAGGGTGAATAACATTCTGGTGAATATAAACACAAGATATATTTTGGGGACCATGTGTAGATCTATTTAATCCGAGCAGAGATATTACTTGTAGAGATTACCTATTTCTATCTCTTGCTGTCAGTGATAGGATAATATCCATACTCCTACGAGGAAGACCAGTTAATAATACTATTCAAATTTACATACCAACTACTAAAGCCAAAGATGAAGAAATTGAGTATTGTTATCAACTTGTGCAGTCTGACATTGACCGAACATGCAATCAAGATGTATTTATTATTACTGGTGATCGGAATGTGAAAGTTGGAAACAAAGAAGAATCATTGTTAGTTGGAAAATATGGTCTTGGTGATAGAAATGACATCAGAGATCATGTGATAGAATTTTGCAAGACCAATGACTTATTCATTGCAAATACCTATTTTCAACAACATAAATGGCAGCTATACACATGGACCTTGCCAGATGGAATACACAGGAATCAGATTGACTATATCTGTGGAAAGAAGTTATGGAGAAGCTCAGTATCTTCAGTCAAAACAAGACCAGGGGCTGACTATGGAACAATCAGTTACTCATATGCAAGTTCAAGTTGAAGCTAAGGACAATTAAAAGAAGTCTACAAGGGCTAAAATAAAACCTTGATTATATCTCATCTGAATTTAGAGACCGACAAGACCAGGGGCTAACTATGGAACAATCATTTACTCATATGCAAGTTCAAGTTGAAGCTAAGGACAATTCAAAGAAGTCTACAAGGGCCAAAATATATCCTTGATTATATCTCATCTGAATTTAGTGACCGTTTGAAAAATAAATTTGAAGCATTGAACACCAGTGACTGAAAACCAGACGAGTTGTGGGATGACATCAAGAAGAATGCAAAAGGTCATTAAGAAGACAAGAAAGGAAGAAAAGACCAAAATGGATGTCAGAAGAGACTTTGAAACTTGCTCTTGAATGGAGAGTGGCTAAAGTGAATGGAATAAATGACAAGATAAAAGAGGAGAACAGAAGATTTCAAAGAGCAGCTCAAGAAGACAAAAAAGTATTATAATGAAATGTGCAAAGACCTGGAATTAGAAAACCAAAAGGGAAGTATGTGCTTGGCATTTCTCAAACTGAAAGAACAGAAGAAAAAATTCAAGCCTTGAGTTGCCTTATTGAAGGATGCTATAGACAGAATAGGAGCTCTGGTGGTGTAGTGCCTAAGAAATTTGACTGCTCACCAGAGGATGGTGGTTCAAATCCACCAGCCACTCTGCAGAAGGATGACTGGGCAATCTGCTGACCTAAAGATTTACCACCTTGGAAACCCAAAGGGGGTTGCCATGAGTTGAAATTGACTCAATGGCAGTAAGTTTTTTTTTTTTTTTTTTTGGTTTATGAACAAAGTATTGAAGGATGCATGAAACATCAAAAGAAGATGGAAGGAATACAGAGTCACTGTACAAAAAAATTGGTCAATGTTCATCTGTTTCAGGAGGTGGCATATGATCAAAAACCAATGGTACTGAAAAAAGATGTTGAAGCTACACTGAAGGAATTGGTGAAAAACCAGGCTCCAGAAATTGATGAAATGCATGTTAAGATGTTTCAACAAACAGATACAATTTGGAGAGAGCTACCTGGCCAGCTGACTGGAAGGGATTGATATTTGTGCCCATTCCACAGAAAGGTGATCTAACAGAATGTGGAAATTAACAAACAATATCATTAATATCAAACACAAGTAAAATTTTGCTGAAGATAATTCAAAAATGGCTACAGCATTATATTGACAGGGAACTTCCAGACATCCAAGGTGGATTCAGAAGAGGACATGGAATGAAGGATATCATTGCTGATGTCAGAAGGATCTTCGCTGAAAGCAAAGAATACCAGAACGATGTTTATATGTGTTTCATTGACTGTGCAAAGGCATTTGACTGTGTGGATCATAACAAATTATGGATAACATTGAGAAGAATAGGAATTTCAGAACACTTAATTGTGCCCATGAGAAACCTGTACATACACCAAGAGGCTATCATTTGAACAGAACAAGGGGACACTACATGGGTTAAAATCAAGAGGGGAATAGCATCAATGTTGTATGCTGAGCAAATAATCCAAGAAGCTGGTCTATATGAAGAAGAATGAAGCATCAGGATTGGAGAAAGGCTCCTTAACAGCTTGTGATATAGAGATGACACAGCCTTCCTTGCTGAAAGTGAAGATGACATGAAGCATTTACTGATAAATATTAGACTTCGTCTTCAGTATGGATTACACTGCAATATAAAGAAAACAAAAATCCCCACAAGTGTGGACCAATAAGCAAGCATCAAGATAAATAGAGAAAAACTGAAGTTGTCAAAAGATTTCATTTTACTTGGATTCACAGATGCCCATGGAAGCAGCAAAGAAATCAGACATGATATTGCACTGGGCAGATATGCTGCCAGAGATCTCTTTAAAGTGTTGAAGAACAAA